AAGTTATTTTTTGTGCCCAGCAAAATTACCCATCGTGAAACCTTTTAGTATTGCTCTGTCATGTTGAGCTATGTACAACACACTATATACAGACTACAAATACCTCTACAAATGCTGACCAAACAAATCTAACCATGGGAGCACTATAACAACTAATGCAGTTTCAACCAATACATTTGTCTTCAGGTGCACTGCAGGTATTAAACTATGCACATTGTCAGTAATTTTTGAAAACCAAAACTACTTGGCTTCGCTCAGCAAAATGCTTTTTTTGTTGTACGTTGCTCCTGACATTAATTTTAATCACCTTATTGTGATGCATACAAAGATTTAATTTTGTATTAGATTCAAAGCATGTCACCATAATATACTGCCAAAAAAATGGTATGCTAACATTCTCGTGTTTAAACAAACTGCAAAATATACAAAAAATGTGATCAGCCAGAAAACTGATCACCTGTGGTTTGGGTCACTATACAGCAATGAACTATATAGCTAAATGCACTGGTTTATGCAAGGTGCCCACAATGTGGTAATCATTTTCACATGTTAAGTCCCTCATTCTTGGTCATTTGGTGGCGTTTTTGTTCCTTCAGCATGTCGAGGAGGTCTCGCTCTACCTGTTCCAACTTTGCCTCCTCTTCATCATCTGCTTCTTCGTCACCATTGTCATCATCATCTTCCTCATCAGTGGAGTCTAATGAGGACGACTCCTTTTCAGAATCATCAGACTCATCACTGCTTGTATCTGCTGGATTATCTACCAATATTGAACAAAACAGAATAATTTTGAGTTACAAGCCTTGAGCATCAATATTTTTTTTAACTATGGTGCATCACTTGCTCCCAGATTTCAATGGCTATCAAAAGGAAAAATCTTGGTCGATTATATCTTTGGATTTAAATCATTCTAGTGCAGGCAAATAATTACATCTTTGCTCCAAGATGAGAAACATATGATATTGATAACCTTACCATTCTCTTGACTGCATACCAATGATGCAGCCTCCCAAAGCGTTGCTTCTCCCTTTGTAACTGTTCCATGTTTGTCCACACAATAGCATCTGTATGGAAAATCAAACAAAAACAAGACTCATGCTCTGACTCTAACACACAAGCCACACTAGTATACCAACACTCCACTTATTTGTCATGATTCAATTGAAAATAAGCGGGACGCACAACTTCTGTGCATTATTCCAGGAATTATAGACTCCAAATCGCTACGTGTGAGATTCAGTTGCTATACAGGATAGGAAAAAAATCTGTTTCCATCTTCATACATGGCTAAATGTTAAAAAAAGTCAAGAAATATTTGACTAATTCTTGCTGCAACTCAGATGAGCTAACAAGTTTCCAAGGGATAACAGAAATAAATCAAAGTTTAGATTTAACTTGAATGAATCATCAAACATCACTTGTTTGAATCCTTGGATACCAGTACTAGACTTACATAGATCCTGAACACTGTTTGGGTGCATAGAAACCATTCCCATCACAGTTTGGCACCTCTCCAACCACACTATGTTTGTTGGCCAGTCTGGCGTCCTCAATTTTGTCCAAGATGTCTTGTTTCTCTTCAGCACAGGGTCCCAGATCATCACTGGTGTCATCATCGTCATCGTCGTCATCTTCATCCTTGTCTCCTTGTAGGTACTCTCCTGCTACATCACCTACAGCGTGCTTCATTGCTGAAGACACAAAAATATCACCAAGAACCTGTGGTAGGCCTAAGTGACATTCTTAGAGGAGTGGAGGTGATTTGCATCTTGGGAGGACATTTCTGTTTGTCAAACTAAACAGTACTTTTGTTTCAGGTCTATTTTCGGTCCATAATAATCAGTCAGCTCCCAAACAATGATACCCAAATTACTAGATCTTAATTGAAAAAAACTATATAGGGCTGGACAGCTCAGTTGGTAGTGCACTGGTATGGTGTTCCAGAGGTCGTAGGTTCAAATCCCGCTCCAGTCAATTTCTTTTTTCATCTTTATAACCAATTATAGATCTTAACTGATGTTCATTGTACTGTAAGTCAGGTTTATCTCTGTAGGCCTGTTTTTCCATTTGTCCTTTCTTGTTATTATTCCTTACCCGTTTTCTTCCTCTTGACAGCCAGGATGGTGTTCTGTAAATCTTCGTCACTCAGTCCAGCAAGGAAATTCATCAAGGCCTGCATGACTTCTTCCTCACTCAGATGTGGCTTAAGTTCTTTAAGGAATGGAAAAAAGTTTCAAAAACAATCCTGTGCCTTTACAATGTTCACTGTTGACAGTAAATTGTTACAATATGTCAAAACACACCTCTGTCACTGAGTCCATCTTCACTACTGACTGACTCCGTTGGTTCTTCTGAGCTTGCATCTAATTCTTGACAAAATAAATTAACAAATAAATTAAGACAATAAAAAAGGTCAATTGAAAGACTTTTATACCAATGTTGGAACATTGTTGTAGTTCACTCCTTATATTTTGTACGTTGCATACCTTGCTTTCTGGCCCTGATGGCAAGCAGAATTCTTTTCAGTTGATCAGTACTGATGTGGCTGACAAGATCTTTAATAGCCTGTCCCAATTCTTCATCTGTCATTTCGTCGCCTTCATCTTCTTCTGCTTCAAAAACATCACCATAAGGCCCAAAGTCTTTAAAGACTTTGGAAACATTCACACAAATATACACTAAATAAAAAACCTGCTACCTTTAATTTATTTTGGCAATGGTTGAGTAGGCTACTACCAAGGGCATCAAACAATTTTTAAAAGTGAGGGGACGTAGTATCAAGAACTAAACGAATGCGAGTGCAAATCACAAAGCCCTTAACAGCGGTAAGAATTTTTGATGCAAGATGCTTTGTGGTGCAATCTATGACAATTTCTGACCACTTTCCTAAAAGTTTTGAGCAATTTTGGACATAATTTTCTCAAGTTTGTAGGTATCAGCTACCTTGAGCTGTGGATTCCAATGTAATGCTAATACTTTTGATTTAGCAACAAACAGCGAGGGAACAAATGATACGATACCCCCACCCACTTCAAAAAGGGGGACAGGGACAGACACGTACCCCTTCCTGCACAGTGCAACGCTCATGATGAGGTGCTATCAAATACTTGAGAAGTTGAATTCCCAACAGAAGTGCCTCTCTCATTGACTAGATAAGACAAATAAAAGCCTGCCCTACATCTATTTCAGTACCTTGGTTCTTGGCTCTCAATGCATCCAACATGACCTGCAGATCCTCAGTGGTTAGATGAGTCATAAGGTAATACACTACCTTACCCATATCCTCTGCTGTTAACTCTCCATCTATGATCATTGGAGACAAACAATTTGAATTACAGTGCACCAGTAAGGTTCTACAGAATCAACTGGATGGTTAAAGCCAGAAGCATTAACGGGTACATTACAGGGGGCACAAGTGGGGTCCTTATTTTCTAGAGAGGCACTTCGTAGGTTCTGTCACAGTTAAAACACTGACCAATTAAGGTGGACTGTCATCAGATTTTTTTTCCTTCTCTAGTTCCTCAGCGGGGGGGGGGGAACAGTGACCTCGGACAGTGGGAGTGGTCTGTGCCCTCATGTCCCTCTTAGTTATGCCACTGGTTAAAGTAGTCATTGAGACCCAAATTCATGAAAAAAAATCATGAAATATCTGAAACAACATTTCTCACATTGAGAAAATTTAGGTTCATGGCAAAACATCTTTTTTTTTGTTTTTTGGGCTTGTTTTTCTTCTGCATTAAAATTAGAAGTAAATTCTTTCAGAGTCTTTCTTTTAATTCTTTTAGAGTCAAAATTGGGCTTGTTTTTCTTCTGCATTAAAATTAGAAGTAAATTCTTTCAGAGTCTTTCTTTTAATTCTTTTAGAGTCAAAATTATTTGACTCTAAAAGAATGTTTGTTAATGACAAGCAGGGTTCTTGTGCCCTTTGATAAATGTACCTTGTTTCTTCTGTTGAATTATTTCAATAAGCTCCTTCAATTCCTCCACACTGATGCCTTGTAGAAAGCCCTCCACTTCACCACTTTCATTGCCATCATCATCACCATCTTCAGTCTCCCCATCACCAACCTGACCTTCCTTTTTGTCACCACTGTTGTCATCTTCACCATCATCGTCTTGATCTCCTGAATCATAATCTTCAAAAAAATGTGACCTCTGCAATTGGCAGTTTTTCATATTGGTATGAAATAATTGAAAAAGATCTGAGGGTCGCTCAAATGGAAAATGGAATAAACCAAACTGTGGAACAGTACGGAGTGGATTCTTCCAGAATTATGTTAAGTTTTTGTAGAAACACTTCTTAAGTGTTAAATGCGATTATTTATATATACGTATGTCTGCAAAAACAGAGCAGTTTTGGGATGCAGTGGCATGAAATAAATGACAGTGATCATAAACGCACAATTTTTTCTTCTGTTTAAGATGAAGAGAGGGGAAAAACTGAACGAGAAATGCTGTATAAATTGATGATGGTAACATGCACCTGCTGTGTTTGTGGCAAGCAGGCAAATTCTATCATTTTAAAGTTGCTTTGTGTCACTGTTAATGCTTGATAGTAATTTTGATCAATGTCAGTATGGAACAGGATCCTTAACAAAGAGTGACTGAGGGTGAGTATAGCAGACTTGCAGAGATATCTATTTCAGCAAAGGCAATGGACATATGTTGTCACGGTTACCTCTTTTATTTTGTTTGAACATGCTCAGTAACTGTTTCATTTCATCAATGCTGATGGTATTAACCTAGCCAGCAAGTCATTCTTGTTAAGTTCTGTCACGACCCAAGAAAACAAACTTACAAATATAAATTCTACAGCATAAATACATGTATGAGGTGCTATGAGGGGGGGGGGANGTTGTTGCCATCGTTACCTCTTTTGTGTTGTTCGAAGGTGCTCAGTAATTTTTTCAGGTCGTCGATGCTGACATCATCCAGCATGGCCATCAAGTCGTCTTTGTCAAACTTGTTAGCTGCATCACCTTTGAAAGCAAAATAAAATGCAAGTCACTTGAAATTTTTATTCAAATTTAATTCTTAAATCAAAGTGATTAAAGCTGATTCAGATCATGATCTTGATGATTAGATATTTTTGTCTCTTCAGTGATATCTTTTAATCGCTTTTTTAGATAAACTGATCTCGCAGCCACTATTGCCATGTATCATGCTGTAATTAAATTTCCAAAGATAATCTATGAGACATTCATTGAGACGATCTTGTTATTCAAAAAGGGTACAAACATCATTATCTTACCTCCCTGTCAACATCATCCTCTTCCTTTTGCTCTTTCCCCGAATAATAAAATTTACAGTGTGAGAAACCACATCTTCAAATCCTTCATCAGTCTTGATTACCAAAAGATTTTTAATGCAAAAGTGTAAGTTAGGGTATTTCACCTTGGTTGAAACATCGAATAAAAAATACCCTACTGCATGCCATGACAGCTTATTCTCTGATCATACACAAAGTCCCATGATTTCTGTACCTGGTGTTTGCCCCTGCTTGCCATTACTGAATGGATGATCCACAAATTTGCCACTTTCAAACTCTCTGTCCAAGAAGCGTTTCAGTGCCTCCTTGCTGGAATCTATGAAGAACAAAAGTGATTGTTTATGGTGGCTTACTTCCCACGTCAGCCTTGGAAAGTTGACAGTGATCTAAACAGGCACACATTAAGAATTAATATCATTACTTAAGCCTACCTTCATCATCCTTGTCGACTTCTGATTTGGAACCCCTTTTAAGCAGTGACTGAAACAAAATGAGGAAGAAATTTGAAGAAATGAAATTTTTATCATTAAAAATAACATGAAAATCCAGGAGAAGTTGAATGACTGATACTTAAAAAGTACTCCTCCATTGTATTGCTTTTATCCTCATGACATAGTCTCATCATTTGTATCAAATTACTAGGGCTAAATATAACTAGGGCTGATTCTTTTTCAAGGGGCACCAGAAGAAAAGCCGCACATAGTTAGATAAACTCAACTGAGAATATTCACAGATTTCAAATGTTGGAGGGGGGGGCACCCAGGGGGCATAGGCATCTGCTGGGGGGGTTCCCCTTTGTAGTTACACCACTGCGGACAAGTCAAAAATGTTAACTTTGTCATCTCCATGATGCAACAGCATGAATATAATGATGATATAGTGACTTCATCATTTTTATAACAGACGGATTTTTCAGTTTTATTACATATTCTCCTGTTCCACTCACCTCTTCAAGGTTCCATTCTCTGGTCGACATCCCTCCTACTTCCTTCTTTCGATGCTCCGCTGCCCACACAGGGCTATCATCTCCTGGCACTTGACTTGACCTTCGACCTTGCAGCTTGAAAAGAATAAAAGGAAATGAAGGTCACCCTGACAAAGGTGAGTGTTTTAACACATGGAATGCCTTGGTGTAATGTCTTAATGACTTTTTCCATTTAACGTTTAACTTTTTAGCACATTTCTCTCATTTGATGAACAAACTGATTTCTTCTCCAGAGGCTTATTTCTTAAATTTCTTGTATATCTTGCACTGCTTACTTTAATTTTGATTATTAGAAAGTGACTGTAGTTTGTGCAACAGGAAACACTTACTTCATTCTCCAGGTCTTTGATCTGCAAAACATGAAAAACAAAAAAGAGTCATACTTGATCATCTTCCGCATAAAAAAAAAATTGGAAGGTTTGTTTAATGATAGAGGCAGTGTTATAGTAAACAGGAAGCTGATTTTACAATGCTTTTCATCCAGCAATTGGGAGGGGGGGAGGCACTCAGCATTTACAAAAGGGGGCACCCTATTTGGAGTTGAGCCTAAACTCACAAAGGAACATACAGTGATAATTTCTGTCTTTAAAATTATTAAACAACTCCTTGGAAGCAAAAGGAATTATAGAGAGATGGAAAAATGACATTTTATAAAACTTCGTCCACAAAAAAAAAAGAAAAAAAAACAAAAAAAAAAACCCCGAAAAACCAACAACACATTCAGCAAACCAAAAAGAAGTGTTAGAAATTTTCAATAGCCACTGAAGCAAACAATGCCTAGCTTAAACCTTATCATTTTTTGAGACAAATTCAACATACCTTTTCTAAAAGCTCCTCCTGTAAAATACAAGGGAAATGAAACCTGTTATTGGCTAATTTTCAAGTATGGTTTAATCTTTAAACATATTTGCCATTCTTTTTAACTCTAATGAAACCCACATGAAATACAGGCACTGTTTAATTGAAACTTTAGGTTTGATCTTATCTGCTTAAAGACTTAATGGTACATTTTTGAAATTAAAATGATATATAGTTTACCTTATCACTGGTTAAGTCATGCCGTTTTGATAGTTTTGCCTCTGGTTCTGGAATAAAATTAGATATAATGCAAAAGAATTTCTGGGTATAAAATATGTATCTCTAAACAGTGGGCAGGTGCCTTTTAAATTGAATTTAGGAAATTATAGAATGAATGAAATCCCATTTTGAATTTTTCTCCCTAAGTTTTCATTGACATAAATCTCAAGAACAAAATCTGTGCCATAGGTTGACTTCCACATTGTAAAATTTGTTTTCAAAGTTGACAAAGACAACTTCACTTAAACTATGTCAATTTTAAAACTCAAAGTCAAGCATGACAAACTGAACAAAATGTTCACTTCTAGGTGTCTGATGTCTTTAGATTATACATGTAAATCAATGCAATTGTGTACATCTGTGCACTTTGTTCACAGTGGGTTTTGTTGAGGCAAAAACCGGCAAAAGGGGATGACACATACCTCCAACAGGTGCTGAGGAAACAATAAAAAATGCAGTACAGAACAGCAAGACATGAAATCCACGGAGACACTCCATGACTGTAATTCCAAATCACCAACACCTCCTCACCAACCACAAAAGTTGATAACTGCACAAGCACCCAGTGTGGAGCTGTTGTACTGCTGTTGTATCCCCACCAACAAAAACGAAACTTGATTTGTGACGAGAGCGGATATCACACGTACACACTTATTACGCACACAGCAAGTGCACTCATGTAAGTTTGATCAAAGTGTACGAGGATGACTGTCGCCAGGACCTTTATCTGCCAATCAGTGAGGCTCTTGGTTACAAAATAAACTCTACTGGGTTCAAAGTCTAGGTTCAGGGCGGCTTTATTGTAAAGAAAAAGTCCCCAACTGGTCTTGTTTGATGTACACTCTGTTTGAACACTTCTGAAACACACCTTCCTCTTTTTCTTCTCTTGGTTATCAACTCACAAGACTAACACACTATGGCATGCCTCACTATTTGCATTTTGTCAGTTAATAGGAGTGTTCTGTTTGGGTGAAATGCCAAAAATAATAGCAGGCAGACATCTACTAGCATCTATACCCTACTAGGTGGGTGTACTGTTTGCTTCTAGGTAATATGTCTGTTTGGAGGATATTTTTGAGCCCAGTTATCCACGTCCGAGTGGTAACTATGATAGTTTAGTAATACAGGGGATAACAATACCATGAGCGTTATATTTCAGTGTCAAATACAACTGCTCATTTAAGAAGGCAAACGCCCCCCACAATTCCTAGATGAATTCAGTTATCATTGACAAAGTTTGCGCTTTGATCTGTAACAGAAGTAGCTGAGAAATTATCCAGGGGATGTGAACTTTTTGCGACAAAATGTTCAATTTTCTTCATCCAAGTCATGTTTGCGAAGATGATTAAGCAATCTAGTAACGGAAATGAATTATCTTACTTCCAACTGCATGATCTGTCTTCAAAGCAAAAATATATCATTTATAAACGTTTTATCATGATATTGTCATCAGTGAAATGTACCAGTATACATGTGGACAATTTCTTCAAATTTCATCAGCCAATTTTTATATCTTTTTAAAATATGGAATTGGACAAGCAGTAAAAACCAACCAGCAATATTTTGCCTGAATCATCAGTGAAGTATTCTTATCTTTGTGCTTTCTTTAATGGCTTGATATAATCTTCCACAAGTATTTACTTGTGATAATCTTTCTCTCAACATGTTTTGAACTTTGTCTATAAGGCAAGCCATGTGTCTCTGGTAAGTGTGAAATGCAAGATTCAGTTCCCTTTGGCCACAGATAGTCCCTACTGTAGTTTACATGGACAAACATGTCTCATTAATAAGATTCATTAGTTTAGAGGATGTACATGTAAGTTCATAAGAAGTCGGTTCGGAAGAACAAATGATGCACTTCCAAGCAGAATATTAAGCAAATATCAGTCAGAGTTTTTGCACAGCTCAGACTACTGAAACAACTACTGAAAAAATTCCTAAGTTCTTTTGAAAAGGAAAGATTGCAAGATTAATGACTAAAACCTGAAGTCGTTTCTATTCATCTTTCCTTTGTCTTGCTGACGGTATTGAACACTGTAAACAAAGTTTAAAAGAGCCAATTAATATATACAGCCCACGCTGAGATTTGCAAATAAAGCTGCTATAATTTATTTCTAGAAATCAGAAGAAATAGATGAATTACTGGTATCTAACATTTGATGAAATGACATTATATACAAAGCTTAATATGTGAAAAATAATGGAATGACAATATTAATGATAAATATACTTGCATGAAGAGCATTTCAATAGACTATTCAAGACATTAAATATACAAATCCGCTCAAATTTTTTGTAATTTTCCAAATGAGAAATAAAATAGTACAAAACATTGCTTTTGTTAAATCCCTTCAACACAAACCCAAACCCTTCAACACAAACCCAAGCCCTTCAAACACAAACCCAAGTATTTCTCTTAAATAAAGACCATGGTTCTTGATAAATTCTTAATCTGGATATTTCATATCAATGACACTGCACTGTGCAAGCAGGCTAAGCAACCAAGTCTGCTGAATCTATGTATTTGTACACATTCCATTGAAAACTTATCTCATGCATTTAAACCAAACCACACTCTTATGAAAAGGCCAAACATAGTCATCTACAAGACATTTTTGGCTGACAACGCTGTTGAACTGATCAAACTGAAGCATTTTGCCAGTCATTTATTTTTGTAGTAATGTCTGATTTTTATTCATAAAATTATTACATCATGAATGATTTTCACTGTAAGCCATCACACTGGAAACCTTAGTAATGTCTGCAATGAGGACCTTTTTATAAACTTCAAGACACGAGCTGATTATGATACATGTTCCAGATTTGTAAGGCAAGCTATGACAGACACATGTGATGCAGAGTCTTACAAGCCAAATGCCAAGCCTTTCAGCTTACTTTGACTCCAGCAGTTTTCAGCACATCTGCTGCTAACGATGACACGGCAACATCGGCATGTGAGCTAGCTGTCTGCACCATGTTCTGCAATGCTGCGCATAACCCTTGACCCTGCTCCCGCAACATGTCGGCGTGCTGTTTCTCTGTCGATATCTGAAATAAAATCATTATAACAATAGACGTTTAATCCACAGCTAGGCAAGAACACAGATGTCAATGTTTCTTGTGATGTTAGCATCATTGAGACGTACCACTCTCTTGATGAACCTCAGGAGCAACTTTTGTCTCTTGGCATCAGATTTGGGCAAAGCCACGGCAAGGCAGTCCATGTTATCCAAGGACATTGTGTCTTTATATTCACCCCCAAATAACTGAGCGATAAGAGAGAGGCATTCACAGGCTGTATGCTTGATGTCTCTCTCCTTGCTGCAAATCTGGAAACAAATAAGATTTTGGAACTTTTACAACAGGGAAGAAAATACCAAGGTATGGCATACAAGGAATTTTCTGGTTGAAAGCTGAAAAAGTTTTGCTTGTATAATTTCTGTCAAGGTTTAGTTCATCTTCATGTCTGTGCAACTCTAAAGAAATTCTGATTTTCTTACCAACTGCATGAAGCACGCCGTGACTTCCACAAAGGGTTTGTTGTTCAGGAGCAATGACTCTGCACCCTGAGTGTCCGCCTCAACACCAGACTTCTTGGCCTGTTTTCAACCAATAAAGGAATTATCCTTGGGAGTGCCTGAAGACGCTTAATACAGAACTGTGTACAGTATGCCTGGTTCTCAGTGTGTGGGGCATATTTTCGATTGAATGTGCACAAATGCACAGCATCTTTGAGGAAAAGTCATTTGAGTGTTAGCAAATGATGGAAGTGAAGCTATAGTATCCTGTGTCCAGATTGCATCACACCTTTTTCAGTAGTAATATGATGACATTTGGTTAAGTTACAGATGACATTTTCCAGTACCTGCAAGACCTGTCGGACCACAGCAGCCACATATTTCAGAAGTACCAGGATGGTATCCTGCAAGCTGGTAAGCAACAACTGTACACTCTTTGTGTCTGTGTTATCATTGGAGTCCATGTAGATATTCACGCTTTGCTGTAACAGGTTACACAAGTGGTCCACAGTGCCTACAACAGAAAGAGCATTGAAAAGTAAAAACTCTGTCAATGTGCAAGCGCAGTTCCTGAAAGATCACAGAGCAAAAGATATCTTTAGTCTTTATGCAGGAATTTTCACTTCAGGGTTTGTAAAGAGAATGCACGTATGTGAATTGAAATCACGGCAACAGTTCTTCAACGTGATAAAAAACAGGATCAATATTGCACAGAGATGAATTTATGAACCAAGTCTTTAAGCCCCAAATTTAAAGGTGTCCAATTAATTCTAAAGAGGCATGATACCATGGTAATATCTTTCAATGTAAATACTTTCGACCAATCAGTGATTAGAAACTTTTGCAGTGGGCCAATCAGAAGACTCCTTACCTTGATCATACAATGCCTTCATGTTGGTGTCTTTATGACTAACCAAACAGTGAAAGATTCCTACAAGGTTTCTAATGGCACTGCTGATTGGTGCATTCTGGTGATCCAGCAGAACTTGGAAGAAGACAGGATATAAGTCCAATTCCTCCACACGCCTAACAAACAAAAAAGGAGAAGTTTTAGTCTCAGAAAATCCTTCATTTATCTCTCGTTTTGAACATACTTGCAGTTATCAGGCCTTAAGTGGAATCTGGCATGTTTCACCTGATATTCTTGTTATCTGTGGTAAGTAAACCCACATAACAGTGCCACTGTGTCATCTTAGTTTGGAATGAACAAAATGAAACTGGCCTTTTCCAGGGGAACTTTCATTTCTGGCTGATGTAAAGTTCTAAGTTCTTCGCTTCAAGTGAATGCACAGTCCATCACCTTCGATAATCCCTATCTTCTGTTATTTCTACTCAATGTGGGAGATCAAGATACACTTTTTTGGGTTTGACATACTTGATATAAGCGGGACTTTTCTCAATCAATGCCAGCAGGAGCTTTAAACCATAGACTGGCACTGGGTCTGGATCCAAAAGGATCTGCTCAGCATGAGGCAGGAACCGGTCCCCAATGATCTCCTCCAGGAGCTTGGGGTTGGTTAGAGGGTGCTCTTCAGTCAGCTGATCATGCGTCAGGTACAGGGAAGTGATCTCAGCAAACAGGCGTAGGCAGAAAATGCGGGTATCACCTGTCGACAGAATGGCAGAGCACTTATTGAGAGTTTACAATCACCTGGTCAGTGTTATTTGCTTTTCCACTTTTCGACACCCCCTCAGAAAATATGAAGACTGCTCATTATCCTAATCTGAGACAACATCAAACTGCAAGCATACCACAATATATCTAACCTCACAGCTTGGATATGTGTTAAAGAAAGGTTGAGAGTTATGATATCGAGAAGCAGGAGATTTGTAGCAAGTGAGTTCAAGCTGCTCTTTGCGCAAGACAACGGCAAGGAGCTCGTTTTTGCCTGTTTCGGAGTGCAGAACTCATAGTTCTAGTTCTAGAACTTACAGCTTAATGGGCTTACCATTGTCGCTGGATACCAGTGAAGCAAGGGCAGGCAAGATATTTTCAATGATCACGCTGTGGTACTCCATTAATATACAAGGATGTTGAGCTACAGCTTCTAGGATGGACAACACTGTCTTGATAAAATCTGTGGTTCCTGATGTACCTGCATAAAAAGTACAAGACAAGTTGATGGTGGACAAAGAAATGTTCTGGAAAAAATATGTTCGGTTTTCGTTTGGCTTACCTATTGCAGGTTCGATGCTTGTATCTCCACTGTCCAGAGACTGGACATGGGCCAGAAGGTCGCCAATGTCCTCAAGGAACTTCTCCCCGATAATTCTGGTCCGAAAGATCTGAGAGAAGAAGCGGCAAGATTATAAGCAGTTATCAATCAGGTGAACTAGCAAGTCAATGATAATAACTTATTGAAATTAAGCACTTTTAAAGTCGGCTGTACATTTTGACCTAGGCAAGGCACTACAAGAAGTGATGAACAAGTGTGTATATTCCACCTGACTGGTCACCAGATGCAAGGCAACAGGAACCAGAGGCAGGCTCGTCTTCAGCTGTTTGGCTTGGATGCTAGATGGGTGCTTACGTCCAGCCACGGCATTCAACGAAGATATGGCATCGCCTGGAATTCAAACAAAGAGAAGTTAATGGGTGCCGGGCAAACATACAACCTCATCAATGATTGCTGCTGAAAACTTGATGCAATAGCAAAACTGTCGTCTCAAACAATTCTGAGAACTGTTACTTTATACATGACTTTAGCAACACCACGCTATGTTTTCAAGTATATGTTTTGCACGATTAAAATTGAAAAGCCCAATGAGGAGGTGTCACAGGTCTGCTGTAGAGAGTTTGGCTCAGGGGGCTTTTGAGCCAAAACTGTCTGGAGGGTTGAAAGGGGTTCAAATTTTGATGGAACTAGTCCTTTACCTAAGATCTGAGGCACAATGTCAACCAGGTAGTTAGTGATTAGGTCCAAACATTTGGACAGGTAGCTAGCCTGGCCTTGATTTCCACCTGTTTGCTGTCGACGACTGTCACGCTCAATGTACATGACAAGCCTATTTCAAAAGATAAAAATTGGAAAGGTATATCAATAAAATCTGCAGCTCTAAGAGTGCAACAAATAAGATTTCTTTTCCTTCCAAGTAAGAACGAAGAGTAATAACAGGTATCCAGGTGGGTCCAGGGGGAAAGAGGGGCCATTGCTCCTCCCCCTGAAAAAAAGCCAAAACAAATGGAGCTAAAGCTTTTTTTTTTAATAATGAGAGAAAGACGATTTTGGCCTATGTCATTTCTCTGCCTCGCAAAAGCATGTTAAAAACCCGCCAAATCATAGAATTACCCCTCAGAAAGGCCATGAAAATGATTACATGAAAGAATTTCCAAATTCATCCCCCCCAAAAAAATTTTGCCACTCCCTAAAGTTTAGTTCTAAATCTGACCTTGCATCCAGTCTATGACGTACCTTGCTTGGCAGGCTACATGTATCATATCCATATTGGTATTTGTCACCTCCAGTAACACCAAGACTGCCTTTGCTCTGATCAACATAGAGGGGCTGTCCAGCAGTTTCATGATCCGAAGAATGAAATCCTGTCATTGGAGAATGAGAAAGACAAGGCAAGTTACAAACTTATTGTCAGGCACTGGATCTTATGACATCGACTCTTTTTCTATTATGTGGTTGGCTGTGCATGTATTTCAAATCAAACTACCACAGTACATGTTTCAATTGAATTCCATTCACATGGATAAGCCGAAGGGTTTCTCACATGCTATGCAACATGATCACTTCACACATGACTTCATTTGGCTATATATTACAGTGTTGTAGTTCAGTTCATTATCCACAAGCCTGTCACACAAGTCCGGTCACACAAGTCCTATCACACAAGTCTTGTCACACAAGTCCTGTCACACAAGACCTATCACACAAGTCCTACTACACAAGTCCTGTCACACAAGTCCTGTCACACAAGACTTATCACACAAGTCCTCTCACACGAGTCCTGTCACACAAGTCCTATCACACAAGTCCTGTCACAAGTAACACGATGAACTTTAACCAAGGTATGCTTTCATCACAGTGTTTTAAAAGCTTGTAACTTGACTTATGACTGGAGTTGTGATGAATTTGCAGGGACCTGTGATGGCCTTGTTGACAGAATTGGTCTGCTCAACCTATCATCAACTGGCATTACATCTTATAGACACCAAGTTTCCCATGTCTGCCCAATGAGAAATCCTTTGAAGTTTATCCAAAATGTAAACTCACAGTACCTGGTGTTAGATTGTGACAGGTAGTGTATATGAGTCATTGTTGATATGACTTCTACAATTTGACACCAAATGAAAGCACTAGTGTAGTATACATGGATGTGACTTCATGAATAGTAATATTACTAATTCTATGGATAGCCTATAGGGCTAGGGGTGTGTAACCACTACGATGGCTTCAGTGCCCTCTAAAGTTCCTAGCACATCAGTCTGTTCTAAGCCCAAAGATCCTCTCATGCCACATGAAAAAACCACATGCTGATCTAAAACAAAAGTTTTGAAAACAGGACTAGATGGTTTAGCTAACCAAGCTAAAAATCATACATAGACTTGTAAAAAGTAAAAAAAAACTACTCTAAGAATAGGGCTAGCATGTGCAGAAGCTTTGAATGTGCATAAAAGCTGAGCTATGTTACCTCAGCACTCTGGTGAGGGAAGGTGAGCAAGGGTTAGTTAAGACCAAGGGTGAAAGGTCAGAGTTCATCCAGCAGCATGGAAAAGAAACAATGTGATTTGAGGCAGTAAGGCAAACCATACATGAAGGAGTCAAAAATTGAGCAAAATATAAGAATTAGTATACAACAACAAAATAAAAACCACAGGAAATTTAACCAAATCCACACAATTTGAGAATTATAAAAGAGATGCATATGTGGTGATAACATTCCAAATTGCTTTCAAGAACTTCAGCAGACATTAACATGAATAAATAAAATCAAATAAGGATAGTCTCAAATTCAGCACCATCAACACACAATCTCAGTTTCATCTTGTTCAAGAGTAAAAAAAAAGCCTGGTTCTTTAAAAATACAAATGATGCAGACTTCTGTGAAAACAAAGACTTTCAACAAAATTTCAATTGAGACAGCTGTTACCAACTCTTGGGTGGAAACGCAATGCATTATGGGTGACTCAAACTAAGCCGTCAGACAGCGTTACCAGACCTTGTCCTGTACAAGTCGCTGAATGTGAGTGCCTTCCATCAACAAAGCAGCAAACATAGTGGCCAATGCCTGCTGCACTTTGGTGATATTGACCGCCAAGGCTTCAAGCACGTTAGGCAGTCCAACTTTATCGATGACACTCTGGAAGATGGAGACAGACTGCCTGGTCAGTCGGCACAGGGCCTGTAGAGTAGGAAGAGAATGAGAGATAAAGCTACGGACTCAGTCAAGGAATGCAACATGTTGTACTGATTGCTCTTTTCAGCTACTAAAAGCTCATCATCATGGAGTCGTAAAGACTACCAGAAAATGCAGGATATATATATAGCTCCATAAGTGGAGTGTCCCTTACAGAGGTTTAGGGTTTGAATTTTGGCTTTAAGTAGCATGGGATATTTCTTTAATTGACAATTGATCTGTTTAACAAAGTTGTCCTAAGTAACAGCTGTCGCTGAACAATCTCATTACCGTCAGACTTAAAAGTGATAATAGCTTAAACTTACAGAGATGGCGGTGATCTTGAGGGCGTCTGCTGTAGAATGATTGAAGAGATGCCACAAGATGTGGCCTGTCTCGCTGGTTGCCAACTTCTGACTGTGGGTGCCCATGGTTGAGTAAACATTCTCAATGCTCTTGGCTGCATTATGTTGGACAATGGAATCCTCCTGTGGGACAAATGAAACAGGAATGATGAGACTTGTCATATGTCGACAATGATAACACAGAGACATAATGGAATAAGTTCAGGTGGGTGAAACCCCAGGTGAATTGGAAGCACGCCATATGATTTGCTGCCATGTAACTGTATTTTCTGAGTGCTTTTAAGATGTTTCTGGAAATACATGCAGGAAAATTGGAAATTATCCTGAAGTATAAGTCTACTACATGTATTTTCCTACCCCTTCTCGGATGCATCTTGCCAGCATCGTGTAGGTAATTGCAGGGACAGTCCAAGCCTCCACGCTGCATCCTTTCTGCTCTTCTTGGGTTGCAACAAGGAAGAGAAGCTCTCCAAGAGCTGGCAACATTCCCTGCTTCAGCTTGGAGTTGCGGGTGTTGTCTCGGATGACTTCCGTCAAAGCAGTAAAGACCTGTTAGTGTAAAATAGCCAACAAAAAAGCATTTGATGGTACCCCAATGGCCTTTAGAGCCTTTGTACTTGAAACAAAATTAAGACATTAAGTTTATACACAGTTTGAAAAGCTGGGGAGTACAGTTCTGAATCCATCAACTCTATAAGGCCTGATTGTCGGCTTTGCTGGACTTGGGTTAGGGCTGGAGACAAAGGTTACTCTTACCTCTGTGAGTTGAACATCTTCCTCTAGTTCCTCCATGTTGAGAGCTAGAAGACCAAGGACACGACCAGCCCGACAACGACTAAAAAAGAACAATATCCGTAAGATATTTTTCGTTAAGCAAGGTAGTCACATTTTAATAGCAATGCCTCAAAATTTAGAATGTTTTGATTGAATGTGCACAAATGCACAGCATCTTTGAGGAAAAGGCATTTGAGTGTTAGCAAATGATGGAAATGAAGCTATAGTATATATGCTGCTCCTATAGCCTGAGAACACTAGGTGATCTCTCAAGAAAATGTCTGCTTATAAGCAAGCATGACGGAACAAGGAAAGACCAATCTTGCCATCTACGTGGAACTTGGTTTTACAGGGAATTCACAGCATTCGAATGGAGTGCAAGGAAGAAATTCCCTAGGTACATTTGTCAGAGTTGTGCACATGATTGCAATGCCTATCTGTTGAGTTGTAAACTCCTGACAGAAAACAGTTGTAAGTTTTTGTCCTGAAGCAAGAATAAACTGCTCAAGCCATTACTGTCACTTACACTTCTAATGCTTGATTGGCTTTCAGGCACTGTAGCAAGGACAGAATCTTCAAATAAGAAACAAGTGCATTCAGTAGAATGATTTCACTCTCAACTTTTAAGCTAGATACTCAAAATATCAATATAGAATGATTTCACTCTCAACGTTTAAGCTAGATACTCAAAATATCACCAATATTTATGCCTGTACCAACCACCCTATGGAGGTGTGCCTTGAAATGCAAGAGGAAGAAATAAACAATCTAACGTTAGGTAACTTCAAATTTAATGCCTGTCTTCACAAACCAACTTCATATGGAAAAGCTGCTTGGCGTACCAAGTTAGATTTGATCACCACTGCCCCTAATGTTCCATTACTGCAGACAGTTGCGATGTAGTTCAAGAACTGGACCTTTGACCTCTGTCCGCTTGCTGTTTTGTCATTCATCTTGCCCAGGGCATCGGCCAGACCGTCTAATTGGTGCAGCAAATCAGGCCTGCTGAACTTCAGCAGTTTCTCGAGAGCAGGCACTGCGACTGGCAAGTTTTTAATGTCGTATTTCAGAGGAGCTGGTTTCTGTATCTGTCACAGAGGATTGACAATGACCGGGTTAAGATTCCTCCACAAGAGACTGGAAAGTGTTGGGAAATTTTGCTTTAAGGTTTACTACGTGTGTGTTAACGTGAGGAATGAGAAGAGGCAAACTATAAGGTTTTGAAGATAAATGGCTTCAGTAATACAAGAACTCAAACCCACACTTTGAAGACTTCCATCAACCTGATTCATCATTTAAGTAACTCCAACATACCTTTGCATTATCAATGATGGGTGACACTGTAAGATCCCACAGGGTGAAGACCAGCTCGACCTTTGACCCCTCATCCTCCATGGATATTTGACGGTCTCGATGATACTTGATCCGTTGTTTACCATCTCCCATCCCTCCTCCTGTTTTACTTTCCTTGGTAGCGGATTTCTTCCTCCCAGAGGATTTTCGTGGTGGGTGGGGTTTGGTTTCTTTGGGGTCAGTTGATGTCTCGTAAGAAACAACAGGGGAGGTCTGTGGACGTGAACTGTTTGGGGGAATAAAAGAAAAGAATTTAAAAAAAATTGGTAATTATTAAAAATAAATGTGATATTCATGTTGGATAGAAAGCAGATGTATTACCGAAGGACAGGAAAAACCATGATATTAGCTTCACTTAACATGTCTTGTATCTGAACCATTTAATGACAGTTATAACTGACCTTGAACTGATTTGAACGAGTTGTCGTGTACATGCAGGTATTTCTTTGGGACAACAGATTCTGATTAGATTTGAAGAGACAAGGACTCAGTCTCAAAGTCTTCATGATACCTGATTGTAAACTGGGCCTCTTTGGCTGATGTATCGCTGGCTTCAGGCGTAGACTGTGGGCGGAAGGTCTGCAGACCGCTTGACTGTAAGGAGGTTCTAAGCAGATGATGCTGACTGGATGTGCCCGAGCGGGAGATGGGACGACCATCAGGAGAAATGCTGATCAGGTTATATTGCTGTCACACAGGTGGACATAAGGCGCAAAAAATGACCCAAACATTTTATTTATGTTAAAATATGTTAATAGCCGAGCAAGCTTGACTTGAAATAATGGCAATGAGATCATTCCAACTTCAAAATAATTACCCAAAAACTCACTTTAATCTAACTAATTCTATTATTATTTGTTAAGTTTCAAAACAAAGGGAAAAACGTCATCTAGAGTTTACCTTGATGTTACTTGGTGTTTCTGTCAACATGTCTACACTAGATTTAGCTGTTTCCTTCTGTGTCTCCCCTCCCTCTGGGGGAGCATTATCTCCTTTGTCCTTATCCATCAGGAGATCTCCTTGCCAGAAGGGGTGAGCCACAAGATTATGCCAGTCCATCCTGTAGGTTCATTTGCAGACATAAGAAGAGTAAGCCTATGATTTGATTTAATACTTTCATCTTATGATCTACATTTGTGGAAACAACCCTACCACAAGTTAGGCATTTGTTAATGCTGTGTTCATATCTTTCTTTTGCTGATTTGGTAAGAAAGCCCAAATTGGTTCTGTACCTCTCACTAGGATCTTTCTTCAGAAGTCCTTCCAACAAACTGCAGAAATCTGGTGATGGTTTGGAGGAAATCCTTGGCCCTGTAAACCAATGTCAAATTTTCTTTGCATTAACTTCAGTTAAAATAAATTCCAAACCAAATCTACAAATTAACTTATTGAATGTATAACATCAAACATGGCAATAAATGGGTTTGTTAAAGAAGTTATTGTAACTTCCACTGCCTACATTGTACACAACTGTGTAACGGATTAATAAAAAAGTAAAGTTATGACAGTCATTTGGGCACTTGTTTGTCAATAATCTATTATCTATTCTTTTCTATGACAAAAGGAACGTTTAAAACTTGGGTAGTGTTTCACCTTTGATTCTTGGCTGTGCAAAGCTATTGTGTAGCACCTTCTCAACCAATTCAGGGAACGTATCGGCAGTGAAAGGAGGCTTCCCCGTATACATCTCATGAAGAAGACATCCAAGTGACCAAAGGTCACTGGCCATGGAGTGAGTCTGACCTTCAAGCAGCTCTGGTGCCAGGTAAGATGGGGACCCTGTGATCGAGGAATGAGAGAACAAGGCTGTGTAGGTTATCACTTAGCTAGGGTTACATGTTTTCCAATGTAGAAGAACAGTTGACTATCCTCCCGAGCTGAAGTGCACCCCCAATTGGCAAAAGAAAGACGGGTGGTTCTGCGTGTGCGCAAAGACCATACAAGCCGCAATAAATTAGTTAGGTGATTCAGTGTGCTCTGTGTCAAACGCCCATATACTTGCACGCCTCATAGCACGCCTATTCGGTGAGTAAAAAAAAACCACACCATCTTTTGTTCCGCTCTGAGCGGATAACGATCTTGCATTCTTAGTGTCAACTTTTTTGGGTGCAATGCGGCATAGCAGCAACATCCCACAAGGTCTGTCTGCACTTAAGCATTTCATTCATCCTGAATTGTACCCCTGTATGTTTGGAAATACACTGTCTTGTAGATAGTTTATAGCCCTGAACAATCTCTCAGCAAAGCAGAGATAAACTCAAACTGAAACACAGTTCCATTTTGCTTGATTTACAACTCTACATCCAAGCAAGTCAAGTAGCAGGAAAACATCTGCTGGACATACCCAATGTTTTTCTTTGCTTAGTCGTGTCCTCATTACCCTGGTCAGAACTGTCAGCACTACTCCCACAATCCTCTCCTAATGTGCTCTCAAACACCTCATCAAGGTCCTCACCCTCTACCCTGGACAGACTGAAGTCATCAAACTTTAAGATTCCTGTGCCGTCCAACAGAATCTGTCATTCATGCAGAAAGAAAAAAAATCAACATTTTTATCCATTTTACCAATCCTGTTTAAATTTCCTCTTTTACAAATTCCTTGAGGAGGAAACAAGCCGAGTTGCTCAAGCAGCATCCAATCTGCCAGGCTCTTACATTACCCACCTGATTCAATTCTATGCTGTCATGCTTACCTTGGATGGCTGAAGATCACTGAACAATACTCCCAGGGAGTGGAGATAATGTAACCCCCTGACCACGTCCAAACCAAATCGCCGGATGGAACTCTCTGGTAGATGTTCATCTTGTAACAACAGGTGTTTGAGACATCCCCCTGACAACAATCACAGGAAATAAGTCACTTGAGAGATGTAGAGGAGAGTTGATATGCAGAAGCTTCCAACGACATTGATTCTTACTGCTCCAATCAGTCTCTTTTTTTGCAGGTTCAGCCTGTGTTTCCTGTTCCATCCTTGAGGCTGAATATTGCATTCTTGTTTTCTTTGTTCTCTTTCATAATAGATTTGTTTAGAGTTTTGAGAGACATGGTAATTTGTCCTTTGTAAAGTGAACTTCTATAACTTCTTAGGATACAATGTCAAAAATGAGGGTAATGGAGACCAAGACACCTGTAAAAAGGTGTACATGTATTTGTGATTCCTGGAAAAGGAACATAATCTTTATTAAAAGATGAAAAACATGTAAATGATGTAAAAGATTGAACTGTCAATTTGTGATAAAAAAAGAAATGCTAATGAAGAAAGGCTTACAGTATTTGACGATATTTGCTTACCTGTGCATAACTCCACCACCAGCCACAGATGGTTAGTTGTCTCATACCATTCATAGAATTGAACCACGTTAGGGTGGTCCAGTTCATGGGTCAGGCGGACTCGATTGGTCACTTGTGGTCGTCGGGCCTTGTCCATGCAGTGGATAGCAACAAAGTTGATCGAACCTTTGCGACGCCCTTTGTACACAATAGAGTGCTCATCCCGGTAGATCTCATCGTACAGGATGAAATTCTCCATGGTAACTGATGCAGGCAAACTGTGACTAGAGGGGTTTCATCAAGGGCTTACTTTCTTCACTGAAATGAGTTCAACTGAATTAGAAAAGAATGGATTATACATTGACCAGTGTTTACAAGACTGTTGCATCAATTGCAGCTAGAAAGGAGAGAACTCTTTCAGATTGACATTTCTGGACTTCTAAACTAATATTGTGTATGTAGCCTTTTGCAGATATGTTGGGTGTCATCAGTCAATCATGATCACATTACACTATTAGTTAGACCTTACTTGCACAACTCCAAGTCACTACTCCGTGTGACACGGAGTAGTGACTTGGAGTCGTGCAAGTACTTGGTCTAATCCTTCATGAAATCTCTGACTTTCGGCCGAGACCTAGTTACATGTACTTCCCTCTTTTCAAACAATCTTTCACAGAATAATACAAGATGTAAGGAAAAAAGGCCATTGCCACTGGCTGATCATTGTTTGATTATTTCAATTGCATGGTAATTAAGGCCTATTGGCAAATCGTACGAGGGTGCGTTCGAGCGAGCTACTTATATTAACACAAGTATACTCCTAAGCGCTCGAACAGTTGGAGTACGCTGTGGGTCAGCAAGAGTATACTCTAGCTATGTGGGGAGTAACCCCCTGTATCTGGGTGTAGGGCTTAATGCCATATGAGTGCGCACGCATCCTACTCGTGTAGTTAACAGGAGTAACTGTGCAAACCCATCCTTAGATTGACAAATTGTGCAGATCAAGTAATTGTACCCAACAGATGCATGTTCCAAAACCACTCCCTGAATAAAAAACATGCTGCTGCTCAAGATATTTCCAATCAATCGTCTTTGGTAGGCCCTATACTTTCAGAATTCAGTTAGGCCATGGTTAGGCCTATCGTACGACAGCTTTCAAAGGTAAAGAGAGGAAGATAAGGTACAAAAAACATCAAAACGCTTAAATTTCACTAGCACATCCATTAAAATTATTCAAACCTTAGGGCTTATCGCCGGGCTTACAACATTCCGTTCGTTGCTGTGGACGCTGACATAATTATTTCACTTTTTAGCACTAGCGATAGCACTATTAGCAGGTCTGTAAAAAAATTTCAAAGATGAGAAAGACTAGGAGTATAGCGCCCTCTCATGTTGCATTTTTGCAGCTCCAACATAAGCGCTAGAGGGCGTTTTCTTTCTCATCAAACAAGCCAAGGAAGAAAAAGTTCTCAAAAAGATTTAGGATTTATTTTAAATCACCATGTAATAATTAAGGATCCTGTTGAAAATGTTAAATACTACTTTAAAGAAAAAATTCAAGAATAAAGAATACATGTAAAAGGTAAAAATGGGAAGGCTGTATAAAATGCCCAGAGCGACAAAATGTAAATAAACTATAAAATAGATCAAAACATATGAAAAAATGTAAGATTTTTGATTTGAATAGCTAGCTTCTTGATTTCAGTGCTAAGTCATTATTTTTCTTTAGAATCAAAATGAAGTTTATCAGAAATTGACCAACTGACCTCTACAGTTTGACAAAAAGAACTGGAGTCATTTGCTTGAAGCAGAGTCAAATTGTAACAAGTCACTAAATTTGGTGACTTGAGTCGAGTCATACTGAAAATATATAGACTGAAAATAAATTATGGTGACAGGTATCTTGCCAACTAAAATTTTGCTTTTAATTTTTTTGAGACTTGAGTCTTATAAGCTTGTACTCGAGTCGAGTCTCCATGAGAGATTCAAGTCGAGTTGAGTCGAGTCATTTGGTTGCAGAGACTCAACTTGAATCATTTAACTGTTGGGACTCAAGTCGAGTCACCAAAAATTGCGACTCGAGTCGGACTTGAGTCAAGGTACTGACTTGAGTCATTACAGCTCTGGCTTGAAGAGAACTGTCCAACTGCGAGTATCATAGATCATCCATCATCATAAGGCTATTCTCCATGGTGACATGACACAAAGCAGGCAAAATGAATTCGTCGCAAAGCACTGTGGGTCCTTTAAATATTATTTTCCCACATCCTTGGGTATGCGTGCATTATATTTTGTGTGCACGTGCCATAATTGACATTGTTCAAACTCTGTCCAATGAGGACTCAACACACGCCGTTTCCACTTCTAGACTTCAAGTTGAAAAAATTGCCGCCGCGCGCATGTGTTATCCGGTGCGTCTGTTCTAAGCCACCGTACAACGCTCGCGCTAGCTAGCGCTGCTTGCATGCACTGCACCATCATTTCCAGAAATGGCCGAAGTTCTGTGGTGTTTGATGAGAGATCCACGTGCTAAAACTTTGAGGAGAAAAGCGAAAAGAACACCGTCGAATCGATGCAAATAGCGTATCAGAATATGTAGTCTAAGCAATAGCGACAGCAACATGATAATTAGACCGTTATTTGGAACATTTGTTATACAGATTTTGGTGACAATCGCCGCGTTTGATGGGAAGACTCAAGGTAAGCCGTACGCATGGTTTACCGTGTAGGCCGACATGTACATGTACATTGGAAACGGATGCGTTTGTTTACCTGTCACAGTGCTAGGGGCCTATGCCTGTACCTGAGTGCGAGCTGCTCAGGCTGCTGGTTTGTACTAATGCCATATGCTGTTTTTGTAGCGAGGTCTGTGAGAAATTCCACTCTTAGTCTGTTTCACTGGTTGTCTCTCACTTTGTAGTCTGAGTAACTTGGACCACTATTGCCCGACATTGTCCAAATGTTAAAAAAGGGTGATTTGTAGGGTCCAAGTTACGGTTACTGGGACTACTCACTTTGTAGATTACTTTGCTATGCCTCTTGGCGAACCGTTAAAGTTTCGCTATGAACTGCCATGACTGTTGAAATTGAAACTGAAAGCATGTTTTTCAGCTTTGATTGGTCATCAGGTTGGGGACCAAACCACAATCTAGCGATGTTCCTACTTTCTGCTTAGGCCTATGTCACTTGTTCAAGTGGCAGTGATGTCATTTTGACTAGGTCACTTGATGATGGAATTTTCCCATGCGATTTTGGGAAAATCACGAGATTTGAAATGCTGGCAGCCAACATGGCCGCCGTTGCGGTTACCGTTGGAGTCTATGGCAAAATTGGTTCTGATCGCTAGTTTGGAAATTGCCACAGTAAACATAAAATTTGCCACAGTGAATAGATGGAGATTTTTAATGGCAACATTTTCATGCATTTATAAAGTAACCTTCGGCAAAACTTAATTTTTTTCTTGTAAACGTTTTCATCGGCAGATTTCGATTCACCTGCCTACCAAATTCGACACATCCAGTGCAAGATTCGACCGAAAAATCTCTTCTATCTGCTTTTATAGATACCAAATGAAAGGAAAGTTTCATTTAGATCTTGGGTAGCATGTTACCTGTAAATTTGATCAATTAGAGCAATTTGTACTGCAGTTTTTGGCCAATAAAAAGATCAATGTCATCTGATCTAAAAATAGTCAAAAATTATGTCATTGTTGCACAAATGAGTGGCGTATGCATAGTCTGGCATCATCGCTAGATTGTGGTTTTGTCCCCAACCTGGTCATTTCAGGGTCAGAATGAATCGGAAAGCTTTGCATCCTTTACCATGCCGACAACACCATAGTCATGATGGTGGGTGGTTTTATGTTTTTTGACGTTGTCATGATTATTGACACAAAATGTTGTTACACTGTAAATTCCACTTGATTACTGCACGGAGGCCAAGGGAGACTTAACTGTTACAAGTTGTACTCAGAATAGTGTACACCAGTTCCAAATTACTCCAAACATTCTTGCTACTTAAAGGGAATAATTCCCTGGATAAATATGGAACATGTACAGTGACTGTATTTATGGGATGAAAACTTGTTACCAAATCTTAATCTGGTTCTGCAGCTGAGTTGTCATTGTGACTTGATGATTCAGGAGATGGGCATTGGACCATTTTACAATTGTTGACTTTTTTCTCTAGACTAGAAAATCCTCCTGAGCTACGAATCAGAAGAAGAAAATATAATACGTGTAATCAATCAATCATTAAATGTTGGAGTCGGTTATGATAACAGCAGAAGAATATTTGTAAAAACTTGACCATCAATGATCATGAACTCTGCTACTTTCATGGACCAATCACCCTTGAGTGCGATTGCAGATACGAGGTGCACTCTGTAAGTGTTCTTTATTATTATTGTTATATTAGTCAAATTTGGGAAAAAAAATAGTGCTGGCTGAGACTCAAACCAAACATGAGAAATCTCCAGTAATATTCACAAGATGTACACGTTATCCACTTGGCAAAAGATCTAATGGGATCAGAGGTAATGGAATATCATTTATAGGCCAACTTGTGTACATAATGCATCAAAGAGGGTGATGTCTGTGTGCAGCTGGCTAAATATCGTTTACTTCATATTGGCTGCTGCTGGCCCAACGAGTAGCAAAATATACTATTGTACACTTCCTACATGTACGTGTACTTCAAACTTGTTCTTGCTTTGCCCTTTATGAAGCAATTGTACGTGCACTGATGCATTTCCAAAAAGATATAGACTTTCAAAAATTGCAGATCACTTTAGTTATGATATTGACTGTTAAATTTGTAATTTACCTGCTTAAAAGAAGCTCTTGTTGGGGTCATGCTAGAAATACAATGTAACATGACACCAATGTAAATTTGTAATATCAACAAAAAACAGTCCTTGCTGTGTTTCCATTTATGCTGAGGCAGTAGCTGAACTATCATAAGTGGCTGTTATTCTTGGAAAGTTAATCTGATTAAATTATTCCTTTCAGTGGAACTGTTGTAAAGGATGTAAATTTGTACGTATGGAAAGTAGGGAAGGTGTGAAAAATGTGTGATTGATATCAGATAGAGAAAAATCATGAAGAAATCAAGCCAACGTTTGACAAATTTTCTCCTGTTTCCGTTGGGTAAGGCTGAGGTCCAACCACCAACCAAGCTTGAGACTTGATTCAGATTTGTTAACAGTTTGTCTTAGGCATTTGTGTGAGATGATAATGTAGCATACCTGTAAGACTTCAGCATTTAGGAATTGTGATTAGAAACATGAAGCATTCATTATTTTAACTGTGAGTTGTAGAAGTATCGAGATATATTGACAATTCATGTACTATTGCTTTTATTTTTATGCACTTGTGTAAGTTGTCCAACTTCTTCGGTCAGATGTTTTGTGTAAACACATTCATGCTCCCCTTATGTTCGTTTCATTCATGCTCCCCTTATGTTCGTGTGAGGAACGTAACATTGTCATTAATTTCTGTTGTGGAAATTTGGAGTAGCATGTCATGAAGCTACATTTGCAAGTGTGCAGTGTGCAAGGATAGAAATAAACACAAACCTTCAAGTAAGCTTCCAAATTTGTTTTCTTGGCTCTAACATGTAAGCACAAATTTGAGTCCTTGTGTTTGATTGACACAAATTTTATTTTGAAATTTATGTGTACTTCTTCAGTCGTTTATTTGAACAAATTATGATAAACGATTTTGTTTTTTCTTGATCAATTCCAACAGCGATCCCTGAGTTGTACTTCGTGTTCTTACCATCCAGTGTTACAGCACAGCAAGGTGATTCTGTGCTTCTTCCCTGCTCTGTTTCTGGAGTACATCCCATCAATTTAACCTGGCGACAAGGAGGAGAAGAGTTATCCAGCCAAGCAGGAGCAGTAGAGATCCTACCGAATGGTTCCTTGTCTCTGAATCTCAGTGAAGAGATAGCACCAGGCACAAAGGAAGGGTACCAGTGCTGTGCATCAAATGTGTTTGGAAAGCTCTGTAGTCCTGCCGTGTCGATTGTTGTCAGAGGTAAGATTGCTACTAAGAAAAATTTCGCCTGACAAAAGCCACACAAAAATTCTAAAAGCCGAGCAACTAAAAGTAAACTTTGGGAGTGTTTCAAATAAAAAAAGGCATTAGCAAGTTGTCTTCAGAAGCTTTGAGAAGGGAATGGCAACCTGGCAAGAAGTTACATAAACTCAGAAGATGACCACTAGGTACCAGCACTGTACTTTACATGTCATCACATTGACATGACCTTCGGGAGACCTCGAACTTATACAGTTGTAGCTTTCTTTCAGGAGAGGTTGATGCAGGTAAATTATGATTTTGGGAGGGAAGGGGGTAGTTGGAGGATTAGATGTGTTTTCTTGATGGGGTTACATGTAGGTGAGTTATGCCAGTTATGCTGTGGTAACACAGGAGTAATGCACAGTGATATGGCTAACCCTAACCCCCTAGGGACCATTGAAATCCTGCATAACCTTGTTGGGTTCAGCTGGTAAGGGCTAGAGTATTGTTTATGGTAACTCTAATGCTAGTGGTTTCCTCCCTTTAGGTTATGTTAGCTGCATGTATAAAGGATGCATGCATAAAGCACTGTATTATCTGAATGTCTACATGTACATGTACAAGTTAAGTGCATGTTCATGGCCACAGTGGTGTCATTGACTCATCATTTTCCTTCCCTTTTGATTTCAATTTACTATCTTTCATCAGCTTCCAGCTCAGATGGCCTGTGAGCTAAGCCTTTGTCACAGGAAAACCGAAAATTATATTCTGAATAGTGGCTGTCATTTGACATAATCCAAGCTTTAAATAAGTAGTTCGGGGTCAGCACGATCTTTTGGATTTAGTAATGCAAATACAGCTAAACTTCCGGTTGGGATCTGGGAATCTTGCCATTTTGAATTGACTATGAAAGCTAAGAAAGCTGGGTTTGTTTATTTGGTACCTGATTTGTACATGTACATGTATTTACAAAATGCATGTTAATTTTTGTTTGCATATTGATTGGTGTAGGTAGATGCTAATCTTTTTTGCAGTTAAGTTCTGCCCAAGTGATATCACCAATAGGATGAGTGTGCATGATCGAAAAACTCACTGATACTTATGCGTAAACAATATAGGTTGAAAGAACTAGCTTTTTACCAACTACAGTACTAGCTGAAACGGACAGATCATTGTTTTGTTCCTGGTGTAATCTGTCTGCAGTTGATTCTAATTTGCTTGAAAACCAGTCACTATTAATATTCATGGTATTGGCAGCCCAATCTGCATGTATGAAGAAACTATGAACATGTCACACTGCCGAACTGCGGTTGTTGATTGTTTCATGTACAGTACATGTTGTGAACTCAGTAATAATAAATTGCTTTCTGAATTCAAAACTTCGGCACTCGTGAATTCTCAAAAGCTTGAACTTTTGATTGGCGATAATTGGTGTGATGGTAAAATACTAGTGCCCAGTACATGTATGTACTTGTAAATTAATGTTCCTAAGTAGAAGCAAAATAGTGGACAAGATTGTGTGCTTACAGGTACACTACATGTACATGTACATTGACATGATGTACATGTACCTTGTAAACCACAACAACATGCTGTGTTCTGAAGCAGATGCAAACATTTAGCCTGCATGTCTATGTAAACACTCTGCGCTTGAGTCTGTGCTTGAGTACATGTGTACTGTTCTGGAAAATTGCTGGTTCCATGTGGTTTTTATCTAAAGCTTAGCATTTGACATAACATAATAGCACCAGGGAAATTTGATTTGGCTTAACATACTGCCCATTAATATGTCACACTTGTTGGAGGGTTAAACTTTTGCCATTTAATTTGTTGAGCCAGAAAAAGAGGTTCAGCCCTGTCATGTACCGTACCGGTACCGTGTCAGGTTTTACATTGCTGATATCCTGATATTCGGTTTTGTTTTCAAAAAGTCAGGATTCCAATTTTTTGTAGACATTATTGCATTCTGGCAATGAAATTGTGATATTATCTACCGTTAGCTTTGATACTACATGTAGAACTGTATTGCTGTGGTAGTCAGTGGTCCATGAAATCAATAGAAATAAAACTGAAAGTAAACTTGAAATACACTGGTAAAAACTGAGTAGTTTTGTGGTTACTGTGTACTTTAAGTATTCCATCAAAACAAAATGAAGATTCATTAGACAATTGATGAAGCCATCAATAGAACATTGATGAAATCTATTTTCATAATGTACTGGTACATGTACCGGTACATGTAAGCATTGTCTTTGTTAATGTATATTCCAGAGATTTTAAGGCCTGTGAAGTTCATAAAAATGCACCTACTGTACATGACTTTCTACATGTACATGTACATGAGGTTATTGTGGATAGAGCAGAAATGAGTCCGTCAAGTTGGATTAATTGACCAGTATATTATTTTGTATTGAATGCACCGACGGATGTCTGTTTTTTTGTTGCCATTGTAAATTGAATTGTTCATAATTGACATTTGGATACAACATACATACATGTACCGGTACATTTACAATGAGTACATGTTCATGTACATGTAGCCCTGAATCACTTCCTTGTCATTTTCAGTAGCGCTTAGGAAGCCATGATCACTCAAACTTGTGTTCTGCAGTCCCCATACAAAGATCTGTTACAAAAAAAGTTTACTTGTTTTGTTTGTAATACATGTAATTTTATCTTGTACATGTACACACATGTATATCGGTGATGTAAATGTACAAGGCATGTACACTGTACATAACATGTACTTGTACAAGGCAGCGTACCGTACCGTATAGGTCTATAGTACAGTATAAGGTACCGTATCTGTCTTTTCTGACCAAAATGCCAGAAATTGACATGGGATGAATTTGTCTTGGATCTAGTTTACTTGGAACACTACGAGGAAATGGTGTGGAGAAAGTCAAAAAGTTTGTTTGGTTTCTTCCACAAAGAACAAAAATTTGAATAAAGGTCAACAAAACTCAGTATGCATCATGTACATGTTTGTTATTCTGCAAGATCATTTCAGTAATTGTCACAAATAATTATATGCTTCAAATTCAAAAAATGTTGCATGTTGTACCATGGCTATCACTTCTTGTGTGTTTTGCAATTTATTTCCAATTGGCAGGTTTGATTTTTTAAACTGTCTTTTCCCAGCTTTCCCATCCATAGTTGACAGCACAGGTTCAAGGAATAAACCTCACATATTGCTGACATCATGGAGGTCTGTATCCCTTCATGTACACTCCACTTGAAACCCTTTTCCTCAGCATTGACTATCCAGGGTTGCGTTATAAAATTACACATTAAATGAAACATTGGAAAGTTATGTACTGTATGGTGAATACAGATGTGTGCACACAGGGGTCGACAGCTGTTACACTGAACCCAGGAGCTATTTTAGTTAAAGTCATATTAGGCCAAAAAATTAATAGTTCTGCTTTCGACTACATGCTTCTCAAAAATAGGGCTGGTAGGTCGGAAATTTTTTTTGGTCAATTTTTCTGTGCTAATTGAATGGCATTAATTGGAACGAAAGCTTCAATAAATTGTCTCAAAAAGTGATAAAAACCTGTTTTAATCCTTGTAAAAATTTCTACAGTAGACAATTCACAAAATGCACAATGCTAGTCAGGTAATCATGACAGCAAACTGGCCAACAATGTCTGTGTATTATGTGGTAAGCGTGTGTGATGCATTCAGATGGGTGGTTAATAAAGCTTGTACCGCAGCAGAATACACGTATTTTGTGGAAACACGCTCACTTCAAGTACGAGCAAAACCACCTCAAATTAAACTCCTGAACACAGAGGATAGACAAGAGACAAAGTTCTGTGAATTAACTTGAAGAAATCTTCTTTGCAAATCTTCGTTTCGACCTGCAGCTGTAGGGTTGTGTGCGTGTACGGCTGATGTAGCATAATCGACCGGAACATACTGTACATGTTTAGACTGGTTGGCATATTTCCATCTCACGTTCTTTGGCATGGGCGCAGCGCGGCGGGAACCAGCCAGCACAGCATTTCCTTTAATGGATTGAGATTTGCACACTGTTTTCACCACTGTGACAGCGAAATGCCAAGGGATGTCGTGAAAAAAAACAGAAGTTCTTTTCATAAATTTGCAAATGTAAGTAGTAAATCATATAAAACAGGTGTTTTAATGTGAGAAAGGTTGTTGAACCTACCCTACAACAGGAAATATTTTGATGATTTCTTTGGAAGAAAGTGTGTCATCACTTCAAAGAGGATCAGTGCCCATCCTCTCACTTTGTCACGGGTTACCAGATGCTAGTCATGGTTTGTTGGACGCAAAAGTGCCGGGTGCCCGCTTAATGTCGACCCCTGTGTGTGCACATATGGTGTATGTAATATATCCAAGTGGTTGAAAATGCAAATGATTAACATGAAGTTTCAGTTTACAATGTAGAGGGTAAATAGTGTGCCCTCCTGAAATGTTAGAGCAAGGAGCGCCCTCAACGATCATCCTCTTGCCAGGATACAATTTGTTCCTTGAGAACTGCAGTATCATACATGCACCGTACTGAATGATCCGTGTTTAGCTAGAAACGAGTTTATCAGACATGTCCTGTGAGAAATGTGGATTCCTTGATAACAGTTCACTTGACGTAAATGATGACATTTTGCAAGCTCTGTCTTGAAGGAGTGGTGCGTGCACTGTACATTTACATGTAGCTTACCTAGTTCTCTCCTAGTTCTTGATAAATCCATCTTGATGAGATATGACACTACAATATTTCCATTAAATGGCCTTATCTTGATCAGATATGACAAAAATTTAAATCTCTTCTCTACTTCAGAAGCATGAGTTGATGCATTAATGCATACTAGCACATGCACGCACTTTGTGACTTGAGCTCCATGTAAACAGTGCTGCAAACTGTTATTGTTATGATCACTGCCATGGATCAGTGGTATGTCATTGGCAGTGATATTGTTAACCTACATGTACACATATGAAGTGTTGTTGAATGTGATAGTATGACTAGGTTACTAGTACATGTACATGTATTT